CGGGCTCACAGATAACATGCTATCGGTAAATAGAGGGAAGAGCTTTCAAACGGGCTTTCTTTTTACTCAATAAAACTTTCGCACGAGTTTTATTCGGCAACCTCGTACGCTGCTTCACCAGTTTCCACCACTTAGACTTCAAACTCTTGTGCCTATCATCATGATGACGAAATTTCGCCAACTTTCCTGCCTTTGACTCTTTCGAACGCCTAAAGAGACCTCTGATGAGCCCCTGAAAATGTCTAGGCTGAACCTTTTGGCGGACAATTGACTTCTTCACCTTCTCAACTGCATTTTCCCCATATGCCACCTCATCATCTCGCCTCTCGAATTTATCGACTTTACCGTTGTGCTCGAGTAAAAAGCCATGATCATTGTGGTGGTGGTGGTGATGATGGTGGTGGTGGTGGTGGTGAAAAATGATCGCCACTTTATCTTTCATTCTCTTCCATATACCGGCTCGTTTCTTACGGGTTTTTCCCTTATTAGCTCTGTTGTTGTTCGATGCTGACGAGTAGATCGAACTTGCACGCAAATCAGAGTTCGATGAGTAGTAGCCTTTGCTGCTAATACTGCTGGCTCTCGAAATCGGTTCGCAATCATCGTAAGAGCGAGAGGAAGTTTCGTTTTCGCTCCATGTACTTGTTGAATTCGCGTAGTCCCTCGTTTTTCGATCGGTCGACGTGTACTCTTCATCGTCACGACCACCGATGCTGCTACTTTGCCGGCTTGTCGAGTTTGAAATTGAATATGGGTCGGTAGCTGTACCCTCCGATTCTTGATTCCGTGAAGAAGCACTTGTTGCGGTTATATAATGCTCGGTTTTTCCCTTGTATCTTGAGTCTGGTGGATTTCGAAAATCCATCGGAATACTTCGACTCGAAACTCCAAGCCGAACGGCTGGACTAGACGACGACTTAATTTCCAAACAAGAATTTCTTATACGACGTAATGTCGAAATGCAAGATTCGATTCTCCCGATTGTTTCGGAAGCTTCTTTCGATAAACGGTCATTGGAAAAATTAGAATCTTCAAATCCAATATGATCAACAACAGTGTTCTTTTGACAGAGCCTGCAGAGCTTCTTTCTCTGTTCAATCATATGTAGCACATTAATCACACTTGAGGTAAGTAATCACCCACATTGGATATAAAATAAAAACCAAACATTATTGAGATAAAATATATATATATATATATATATTTTAAATCATATTTAGATGCAAAAATAATTAAATTAAAGGCATATATATAATATATGTACTACATGCCTCTGAGTGTTTCTTGAGAATCCTTTTAGTAGTTGCATCCAATAAACTCTTTAGTAGAACTCGTGCATGCTCATCCAACACCTACCTCAATATAAAAAGTATTAGTTACATACTTACATAGGAAATACAATTAAAAAAAAAAAAAAATTCCAAACGAGTATTAGTTTAGACGAGTCTAGAAAAAGACAATATAAACGAAAGTATGACATTTCATAATGTAAGTGTATAGTTTTTGTAATTGTCTTACGACCGACAACGTAACAGCAACATTTCGTTGTGTACTTACTGATTTACCATTTGAGTTGACGAAAATACACATATCGAACATAATATTATCAAAATCGAACAAATTAAATTTTACGAACACATAATTCATAGAATATGAAAAATTTTCCATAGAATCATTTAAATACATAGGAAAACTTACCAAATCAAGAGATGAGGCATGAAGATCTGATTTTATATCCTTGGCTTCCATTATCATCTAAAAAAAAAAAAACAAGATAAACCCATCAATGAAAGATGTATAAATTTGAAGACGATGTGAGTACATATCTGTAGAGGCTTTCGGTTGAGATATATTGATGGATATTTCTCTAACTTATGAGAAATATTTATAAATTTTGAATGGTAACTTCTACACAAATTGCAGTTTTTATTAGATGGATGTGTTGTGCATCACTTCATCCCCACCAATACCTACACTTATCCTAAACTATAAAAGAGAAACTATTAATAAAGCTTAAAACCTATTCTTATCCTAAAAGCTAACAAAGTTTAAAATAAAATAAAAAGAATTATAAAAGTAAAATTAATAAATTTTAAAAATAATTATAAAAAAAAACCTGACATGGAAAATATATGAGGAAAAATACATTAAATTTTTTGACGTAATATTTCAATATGTATCCGTGCACATTATGTTCATGTTACGGGTGTGTTCCTTTCGTCTGTTATTGATAGTTTAGGAATAGACGTGAAAATTTATTCATGTAATAAATAAAGAATGAATAGATTTGGAAAGTCTGTACATAACAGAATTCTAGATATAAAAATGAGTTTGAAAGAGAGAAATTATTTTTTGTGACCAAATGTTCCCATTCGAAAATTCATAGAATAAATATAAAAAAAAAAGTTTGAAATAGAAAAATTAAATTTTCTGACAAAATGTTCCCGTACATTATAATATATTATTGAAAATGAAGCGTGGTTTAATATTTTAAGTAATAGATTAAATTTTTTTGACAAAATATTTGACAAAACATTATATATGTCCATTGAAACAACGTGACTATTAATTGAAGCGTGGTCTAAGATATGCATAATTATGCTTTTACCATTAAAATTTGTAAAATCAAAGCTATTTTATTTCAAAAAAAAAAAATACTTTTTCAAATGCTCGACTTACCCGTGAATCTTTTCGGACATGTCAGTTACAACCTATATGTATTATGTGGCTAACATGTTATTATCTTCTCCAACCCATTTCAATACACACAAGTTATTTTTGCAAGGAGATTCTACAGTTTCGTTACGGAACTATTTCGTCGGAGTTTGTAATCGTTAGATCAACTATCTACGACAATTACATGATGATCTAACGATCTAACGGTTACAATTCCCGATGAAATAGTTTCGTAACGGGACTGTAGGCTGCAACATTTCCCTTGTTTAGACCTATAAATAAAAGCATTTACCACATGTCTATATTCTTAGGCTATATCAGGTATTAGAGATGTTATTTAGGCTATGTTTGGTAAAACTGGCTGATAAGCTAGCTGATAGCTGATAAGCTAGCTTATAGCTTATATGTAATTTTTGAGCTTATAGCTTATAGCTTATGACTTATAGTTGAAAAGCTACCTTATATGATAAAAGTGTTTGGTAAAATTAGCTGATAAGCTAGCTTGAATAAAAAAAATTAACTAGCTTATTTCAAAAGCTACCTAAACAAGCTTATCAAATAAGCTCGAGCTTTTTAAATAATCTCGTCCTACCAAACGGGGCTTATTTGAATACAGGAAACTTATAAGCTAACCAGCTTATTTGGTTTACCAAACATAGCCTTATTCAACCGCACAAAGAAAATGAATAATTAAGATTTACTAGTACAGGGCTCGTGCGATGCACGGGGTGCACAACTTTGAGGTAATTTATCATTCTTATAATTATATAAATGAATAAAAAAAATGTACGGGATATATATAGTACGTGACCTGTAATAGGCCAAAATGTGAACACGGGTGATGCACGTGGTGCACAATTTTAAGACCCTTTATTAGTACAGAGCCCGTGCGATGCACGGGGTGCACAATTTTCTAGTATGTGTAATAAAATACATACCGTATGCACGAGACAAAAGCACTAAATGAGTTATTTCCACAGAGCTTGCCCGTTAAGTAGCTCCTGAACACGGGTGCACAATTTGGTACGTACCAAAAAATCAAAACAGATTTCCATACAATTAGATAATATTTTAGATAATAAATAAAGCCTTTTTATTTTTGTAAAGATTTTACGTACTTTGTTTTTTTACTTATCAGATGTCATGGGATTTTTTTTGTTAAACCGAATTTATGGAATATAATATAAATACAATTAGAGGATTGAACAAAATCAGAGCAAATTTTCATACAATTAGATAATAAAAAGGAATTAGATAAGGAAAAGAAGGAATTAGATAAGAAAAAGAAGAAATTGGATAAGGAATTTTGAATCTGACTTTTTTTTTTTGGATAGATAGACTTTACGTACAAATTTTGACTTCACTGATTTTATGGGATTTATTTTGACAAAATCGATGTTAATATGGAATAAGACAAATAAATAAAGTCTTTTATTTTAGTAAAGATTTTACGTCTTTTTTTTACTTGTCAGATGTTTTGGGATTTTTTTTATTAAACTGATTTTATGGATATAAGACAAATAAATAAAATAATTAAATATAATTCTGGATAAAAATAGCAATGCATTAATTACGTTGACTTTTCAATCTACTAAATTTGGTAAATAGGATACCTTATATAATAAGTATAGATACAAATAAATAACATGCCAAAATTTTAAAGAATAATTAATGTATTTTAATTTATTATCTAGTCATCAGTAATATCATTTAATGATGTGATCATTATCTCTTAAATGATAAATAAAATATTAATTTAAAAAAAAATATTTGTTTTTTATATACTCAAATAAAAATAAAAATTACAATCGAAAAATATGAATGATAATATATATCAGTAAAATCATTGCAGAAGTCAATAAAATTATTTAAGGAAATAATCTTTTTGATCATATTTGAATATGAAATGTATATATCAAGCAATTAATGCATATAGTAAAAAATTTCTAAATAAAGTATGCATTAAATGTGAGTTGACTTTTCTTGATACTATTTTTGGTAAATAGGATGACTTTTAATATAAGTATAGATGACAAATTGTGACCTTTTCCTTTTCTAAAGGCATTTTTATCATAATTTTGATCACCTAATTAACCGTCTTACAAAGCATGATTTCAATATGCATATTAAAGAAAAACATAATAATTTTCAAATTGGAAGCAAAAACTTGATGTATTCAGATCACATCCAAAATTTAATAGGACTCTTTAATTAAATGAATAAATTGCATGCATTACACTCCTTAGGCCTCTTACAATGGAAAAAAAAATGAAAAAAAAAAGAAGCAAATGAAATAGTACTAATCAAACAACAATATATCTAACTTAAACAAGTACTGTGGCCTTGGATTCTTTGTCCTGATGGCTCACCAGAAGAGGTGTGCTACTCTTCTCTTTAACCTGAAACACAAAAAATAATCGAGACGAGTGCTGTTAGGCAGGCGAACAAGCCGAATCCTTATAAAAATCACAAAGATTTCGATTATGTTTGGTCCATACATTTATTACCTGGGACAAAGCCCCATCTTGTTTCCTTTTGGTCTCATTAGTGCAAAAATAGGAATACAAACCCATGCCTATAATGGCGATGAGTATGCCGATAATGTTCCTTGCGGTGAAAGGGTCGTGAAGTAGCGTGTAGCCAAAGGCAAGAACGAGGCATGTTTTGAGATGGCCTAAAACTTGATAAGTAACTGGCGATGTCTTGCCGATTACCAAAAATGTGCTGAAGTTGACAAACACGGCAATCATGCACGAGAGCAGTATGAATCCCTATGAATCGGTTAAAATGTTTGTTAGAAACGAGTTTCGAAAATTAGAAATGTGAGTTCGGAAAAATCCTGTTTTTAATGAAGAAAACACAAATAACTATTACCAAAACAATGGGAGAGTATTTGTAGGCAAAGACATTCTGTTTGGTGAGGCATTGGTCTAGGAAAGGGCCCGTGACGAAAAGAATCGCCGCTTGAAATGGGGCCGATTGGTACAATAGTTGGGTCGAAGACACGTTTAGTCTCTTTTGTATCGTGTTTGTCAGCTGAAAATGTACGAAGATAGAAAGAAAAAAAAATGATAACAATTTGTTATTAATGACACGAAGCAAGAACGAAAACGAAAAAAAACAATAAAGAGATAATAATTACATACGATTTGGCCTACGCAAGTTGTTAAAATAGCTAAAAGGGAGAGAACCGAGCCAACAATGTTGAGCTGGAGATCGGTCACGGATGCAATGCCGACACCGAGTAGCAAGATTGATAGAGAGAACTTAACTTTCTGGCTGAATTGCTTATTCAGGAACAGAGTTTCCAACAGGACAGTGAAGGGTATGATTGCAAGTTTTGTCATCTACACAAGTAAACAACAACACCAGAATTAAATAAAACAAAATGCAATGAAAAGGATAATTCAAAAATAGAAAAAAAAATGTGAAAGAAAGAAAAAGAAACTAATTCAGATGAATTTTAGAAGCAGAAATCTCTTAGAATTTTGAAAGTTACATAAATTTTCCTTTGAGGTCTGATTCTAACTGATTTTTTTTTTTTTTTTTTTTTT